TGATTTTTAAAATTTGTATAATGTGTCGGCAGTATTTATGGTAATACTACTGGGTCTACAGAATTATTAAAGATTATTGTGACATCGCTTCAGACTTCAACAATATACTGTAGTAAATGTAATTATTGGTGTACTGTATTTGAAAAGTACACCAATTTCTGTGTGTACGAGACATGTTTTAGGAATCACCTTCATCATGTACACCGCCACACCAAATCTTTTGAGAGCAAAAATTTATAACATTTGAGAAAATAAAATCCAAAAGGTCAAAACCATAATTGAACTTAGTAGTTTAACAGTTTTATTAGTTTCCTAGAGATATGTTGTTCCATGTTCCTATAGTTACCAGGTCATGGGTATGTAATCAGTTGTGGTATAGCTGTCTAATATGACCTTGACATTAACTCTATTAGTTGTGCCTTCTCTAAGACTTGCAAGGGATCATACATTTATGACTAAAATATTCCGATTAACCTTGGAAAAGGGATTGTATTCTATTTTTGTGAATTTCAAAGAAACAAAATGTATTTATTATTAATTTGTTGTCCTGAACATGCATGAATTATTTGCCACTGGATTTTAAGCAAGCATCAATCAACAATTTATCAGAATAAGCTGTTACAGTAAAATTTGTTTGAATTTATTGGTAATCAATCTGGTATTTACAATTAAGCAATTATGTTTGGAAAATATATTTGCTGAAACTGACAAGAATCAGCTGGTTATTGAAGTACTTGACATTATGGCTGATATCTGTAGCAGATCTCATTGTTATTGGGTAATTACAGCAGCAAGGTTCTTATTTATTGGTACTCTAATGTTTTACAAGGTATTGACATTTCAAGATATACATCACAAACTGTAAAATAAATTATTATTGAAAATGTTCAGTTTGTCCTTGAATTAGGTGTTTCTTGTTATAAACAATGTACAAAGTTTGGTTTGTCCTTGTATTAGGTGTTACTTGTTATAAACATTGTAAAAAGTTTGTTTGGCCTTGAATTATGTGTTACTTGTTATAAACATTGTAAAAAGTTTGTTTGGCCTTGAATTATGTGTTACTTGTTATAAACATTGTAAAAAGTTTGTTTGGCCTTGAATTATGTGTTACTTGTTATAAACATTGTAAAAAGTTTGTTTGGCCTTGAATTATGTGTTACTTGTTATAAACATTGAAAAGAGTTTGGTTGGCCTTGAATTAGGTGTTACTATTTATAAACAATGCAAAACATTTGGTTTGTCCTTGAATTAGGTATTTCTAATTATGTGATTTTGATTAACATACCCCATCATCTATGTCAAGTACCTTTATGTAAATTATGTGATAAATGTACTGAACTCCAGGACTGAGTTATAAAACATAACACTTTTTAATGACTTGAAACACTTCTGTTCTTCATGCATAATATGATACATGGTACAATCAGCATTCATTAATGTTCTATATTTGGATGTTAGACCTCCCTGACTTTCATAATTATTTTTTAATTAATCATTGTCTCTGAATATCATTAACAATTACTCCATTTAGTCCAGTACTTATAGATATTTAATTCCAATAATGAAATAGAATTTGTACAGTTCGTTTGTTTCTACACCCAAACAAAGTCTTTGATCTGCATATATATTGTTAGATAAGATCATAGCTTAAAACATTTATATGACCCTGATTACAAAGAGCAGAAGTAATGCTACTTAGTTTGTCATTAGTTTCAGAAGGTAGTGGCTGCCTGTTATTAACACTACTAAGTTTAGAAATGATTTGTTTTCCAGAGAAATGAACTGAAATTACGTTGTTAGAAATGGCAGATTTCATGTTTTTTTTCTCTCATTACTACCAGTTGCTGGTAATTTTTCCTCCCCTTGCACAAGTTCAATGTTTGTTTTGGAGAAGTCAAACTCTAGTTAGTAATCTAAATATTCATGGAATTTGCAGCTACTAGTACTAAAATCAATAATAAAATCATATATTCCAACTTATTAAAATCTCCATGAGGGATTGTAGCAACAAGATGACCGAATTTCTTATATACATGTTATAATGTGTCATATATAATATACTATGGTTTTTAATGAGTCACATAATGTGCTTAAATCCCATTTTTCACTCCATTTAATATCTCTTTAGAGGTATTTAGTTTATATAACCAAAGATTTTAAGAATAAGATCAACACCTCTCATGGGGGATATCCTCAATAAATTGTAAAAGTCTACAGGTCTGCTGAAAAATCCCATTTTAACTCCTTTGAATATTTGTTTAAAGGTATTTAGTTTATATAACAAAAGATTTCGAATAAAAGGTCAACGCCTCTCATGGGGAGATCTCCAATAAATTGTAAAAGTCTACAGGTCTGCTAAAAACCATAAAATTGCTGTCTGTAATTTAGCAGCCATAAAAAACAATAGACTGTGTTATCACTATTTTTATGTATTTTGCTTTGATTCTTTCTGTTTAATTATTTTCTGTCTCAAGCTGCTCGACTGAGAATGGTTTTTATCAGTTGAGGAGAGTAAGAAACTCCCTCTCATTTTCAGAACCATAGATAATCTATAGATAAAATATATTATATCAGCAAAAAAGTCATATACATGTAGAAGTCATTTAGTTTATGCAGATTAACTGCAAAACTGGTTGAAGTGAGAATTCCTCTCAAAGAATGAATAGTCTGCAGTAAAGTTTGTTTAGGCAGTGATGTTTTACAGTCATACAAACTCTCTTGTATTGTTGTTGCTCTTCCTGTATAAAGGTATACACAGACGTACTGCTGGTATGGGTATCTTTTTTGGAATGTCAAATATATCAATGAGTGCTAATATTTTCACAGAGGTAATATATCAATGGGTCTTAAATTTTCAACTTCTATAAAGATGTCTGTAAAAACTGTGTTCTGGTCTTTTTATCTAACAAAATGAATGATTCCATGTAGTTAATGTTTAAATAAGATGTCATAATAGCTAGGAAATGTATATAAATCGGTTGTGATTGTCCTATGAAATATATAAATGGATAGGAATTTTCATGTTAATTATGCTGAGCCTGACTCAGCTTGCTTAACCAGGTGACTGTATCGCATTCTCGGCAAATATATAAAGAACACAACTTGTTTCGAAAATTGTAATTATAGTATTCCACCAGAAAGGTTTACAAGTAGTCAGTAGATTGTTTGTGGTAAATTGACAGTGATATGTCTCGATTTCCCCAGAAAATTAAATGTCGTCCATGTTACATGTGTTGAAATATTGGAGCAGACGGTGTCACAGAAAATAAAGGCAGTCAATACGTACAGTGATGTAAGAAATCGGTCCAGTGCGATTTGTTCCGGATGATTATGAAAACATATAGTAAACATTGAATATGAAACAGAATATTAATCAAAATATGAAGGGTTTTTTTTTTAACTGCAGCAGGACTTCTGTACCCAAATTTGTATGTTGAATCCCAAAGTGTAATGTTGGTGTGATGTTCATTAGATTTATTTAACTAAACAAAGACATGTAGGTTTTTGTCTTTTTGTCCCCCGTGTAACTTGTTGCGGGGACATGGAAATACTTGGTGTGTGTTCGTCTGTCAGTCCGGTCTTGTTAGCGCTTTCACGGGTACAATTCTTGACAGATTTTTATAAAACTTATACTATAGGTTAATATCAGCAATAACTCGGACAAGTTCTATAATGGTGGCCAATCGACTTTTTTTAAAAGAGTTATGCCCCTTGGAGATATTAAATTTATGGAAAATGGCCTCGTTAGCGCTCTCATGGGTACAACTCTTGTCAGATTTTTGTCTTGCCTTGACGGAGTCAAAAGCGAGACATAGGTATGCTGTTGGCAGTGGCGACAGTGGCTGTGGCTTCAACAATGTATTAGTTTGTGATTAGGTCTAGTTAAAGGTGAACCACTAGTGGTTGATCAATGATGTTTGGTATGCAGTTGTATAAGCATTGGCATATCTCATTTCCATGGAGATTATTTGGTCCCACCCCCGCAGTCATGGTCTATTGACTTTGAAACTTTTGCTTAGTTTACATGTATTAGTTTTTGATTAGGTTAGTTCAAGGGGAACCATTAGTGGTAGGCCAATGTTAATTGGTATGTAATTGTATAAGCATTGGCACATCTCATTTCCATAAAGAATATTTGGTCCCGCCCCCTCAGTCATGGTTTATTGACTTTGAAACTTTTGCTTAGTTTACATGTATTAGTTTGTGATTAGATCAGTTTAAGATGAACTGCTTATGTTAAGTCAATGATATTTGGTATGCAAATTTATTGGCATTTGCAAGTCTCGTTTCCATGGAGATTATATAGCCCCACCCCCTCATCATGGTTGATTGACTTTGAAACTTTTACATAGTTTACAAGTTAATGTTTGTGTTTAGGTTTGTTGAAAGGGATCGGCTTATGATAAGTCTATAGTATTTGGTATGCAGTTGTATTAGCATTGGTACATCTCATTTCCATGGAGATTGTTTTGCCATGTACCTTCAGTCATGGTTCATTGACTTTGAATATTTGCATAATTTACATGTTAAAAAATTGCTATTTTAATTTCAACATTTGCATTATCAAAAGTACAAAAAGGCGAGACATATCTGTGTGTTAACAGTTTATTATAAATCTTATACTATAGGTTAATATCAGGAATATCTCCTACAAGTTCTATAATGGTGGATGACAGACTTTTTCTTAAAGAGTTATGCCCCTTGGAAATAATAAATTTATAGAAAATGGCCTCGTTAGCGCTCTCACGCGTACAATTCTTGCCAGATTTTTATAAAACTTATATTATAGCTTAATATCAGCAATATCTCTGACAAGTTCTATAATGGTGGACGATCGACTTTTTTAAAAAGAGTAATGCCCCTTGGAAATATAAAATATGTGCAACACGGGGGACATTGGAACTCTGTTCTTTTATCGTATTTAATTTGTGTCTGCCTTGGCAATCATTATTGATTTCCTAAATTTATTGTATTTATAACCAATTTTAATTGTATTTTAGCTAGAGAAATCGATCCTGTCTACAGTTTACTGAAGTGTGCTGCCGACCTACCTAAAAATTCACGGATACCATGCACAGTACATGCTCACTGTGGGGGTCATCATAATCCAGATAGTAGTACTAGTACATCAAAAACCTCAAGTCCTTCATCATCAGGTAAGTGTTATATCATGGGGGTTACCTCCCCTTAGTACATCACGGATACCATGTACAGTACATGCTAACTGTGGGGGTCATCATAATCCAGATAGTAGTACTAGTACATCAAAAACCTCGAGTCCTTCATCATCAGGTAAGTGTTATATCATGGGGGTTACCTCCCCTTAGTAAATCAATAAACCTCAAGTCCTTCATCATCAGGTACGTGTTATCTGAGTTATGTCATAGGAGTTATCTCCCCTTAGTAAATCAAAAACCAAATCAAAAACCTCAAGTCCTTCATCATCAGGTAAGAGTCATCTTTGTTATATCAGGGAGGTTACCTCCCCTTAGTAGATCAATAAACCTCAAGTCCTTCATCAGGTATGTGTTATCTGAGTAATTATAGATCATAGGGGTTACCTTCCCTTAGGAAATCAAAAACCTTAAGTCCTTCATCATCAGGTAAGAGTTATCTTTAATTGTTATATCATAGCGGTTACCTCCCCTTAGTAAATCAAAAGCCTCAGTCCTTCATCATTAGGTAAGAGTTATCTTTGTTATATCATAGTGGTTACCTCCCCTTAATAAATTAAAAACCTCAAGTCCATCATCATCAGATAACCACACAATTTTATATGCTGGATAACATATTCCTATCAGAACCTATTTCCAACAACTGTTTAAATAAAAACAAAGTATATCCAACCATATAAATATAACAAAAAAAATTGTTTATGAATGTATTGTTTTAGCTATGCAATGCTAAAGTGTAGTAATTATGTTTACTTGCTTTTCACGCAGATATATGCATTTATTAGACAATAGCACTTTGCTTTTCACAGTTTTGGGTTGTGTGATACATGTTGTTTTGAACATTTAAATTTGATCTTCATTTCACATTTCATTATACTGCTGGAAGATCATATTTTAATTGTTTTATTTTTTCCCATATTTGGGTTTTCAAATCCTTGCTGGATTCACCAAATCGTCAGACAAAATTCCTTTACAATAAGAGGACTTTTACATGATGATGCACAGCATAAAAAAATAAAACAAAAATTCATATTGATTTTTATACGACTGTAAAACATTTTTGGGGTCATATATTGGTAAGATGTCGTCGTCCAAAGACACATTGGTTTTCGCACAATAACTTTGGTTTAAGTGAATGGATCTCTATGAAATTTTACCATAAGGTTCAATACCACAAAAGGAAGGTTGGGATTGATTTTTGGGGTTATGGTACCAACCAGGAATTAGGGGCCAAAAATAAGCATTTTTGTAACTTCGAGACAATAACTTGTGTGTTAGTGTATGGATCTCTCTGACATTGTACCACAAGGTTCCATATCACAAAGGGAATGCTGGGATTGATTTTGGGGGTAATTGCCTCAAAATTTTAGGAATTAGGGGCAAAAAACAAGCATTTTTTCTAGTTTCATGACAATAACTTGTGTGTAAGTGTATGGATCTTTCTGAAATTGTACTACAAGGTTCCATATCACAAAGGGAAAGCTGGAACTGAGTTTGGGGGTAATTGCCCAAAACGCTTAGGAATAAGGGCCAAAAAGGGACCAAAAATAAGCATTTTTCTAGTTTCCAGACAATAACTTGTGTTCAAGTGAATGGATCTCTCTGAAATTGTACTTCAAGGTACCATACCACAAAGGGAAGGCTGGGATTGATTTTGGGGGTAATTGCCTCAAAATTTTAGGAATAAGGGGCAAAAAACAAGCATTTTTCTAGTTACAGGACAATAACCTGTGTGTAAGTGTATGGATCTTTATGAAATTGTACTACAAGGTTCCATATCACAAAGGGAAAGCTGGGTTTGAGTTTGGGGGTAATTGCCCTAAACGTTTAGGAATTTGGGGCCAAAAAGGGGCCAAAAAACAAGCATTTTTCTAGTTTCCAGACAATAACTTGTGTTCAAGTGTATGATCTCTTTGAAATTCAACAAAAATTGAATATATGGGGTTCTTTGAGATGCTGAATCTAACCATGTATTTAGATTTTTGATTTTTGGGCCCCGTTATCAAATTGGTCCACATTGAGGTCCAAAGGGTCCAAAATTAAACTTTGTTTGATTTCATCAAAAATTGAATTCTTTGGATTCTTTGATATGTTGAATCTAACCATGTATTTAGATTTTGGATATTGGACCATAATAGGTAGGATAAAAAATTTGTAAGTTCTTAGACCACATTCATTCTGTGTCAGAAACCTATGCTGTGTCAAATATTTAATCACAATCCAAATTTAGAGCTGTATCAAGCTTGAATGTTGTGTCCATACTTGCCCCAACTGTTCAGGGTTCGACCTCTGCGGTTGTATCAAGCTGCACCCAGCAGAGCATTTTATTTAACTGATATTTTATTATTTCAACTTCAATTTCTAGTACAATGTATTCACTAAGAGCAGATGTTTCTTTCTTTTCTATTGAATATCATCTTAGGCTCAAACACCTGACTTTCATTTTTACATGTAGTATCAATAAGACTTAATTGTTCTGTTGTAACCTTTACAGTTTATATTTTAAAAGATATAAATAAGAAGATGTGGTATGAGTGCCAATGAGACAACTCTCCATCCAACATGTTTTAAATCTTGCTAACGGCAGTTATTGCAAGTTTTAATAGTTTTCAACAGCAAAAAAATTCAGAAATTTTGCAATCTTATCATTACAACAATAATGCTTCCTAATAGTATAATGCATGAAAGGCAGTGCCTGGCCCGGTAAGGTTTTATACTTTATTAAGAATATAATTCTTGACAATATTACACATCAGTTGAATTGTTTGAGAGTGTGAGAAGATGCATTAACCATTTAAAAATGAAATTGACAAAATAGACATTTCAAGCTTTGTATGAATTAGACATAACTCAAAAGCTTTTAATTAAACTATATATATGTATATATCACTGTGCTGTTTTCTTGTGTTGAAAGGAAAATAACACAACAAGGGTATGATAATTTAACTTATCGGCATGGATTTTTTTAACATAGGTAGAACATTTTAACAGCTAGAACCTCAACATTCCAAATTTATTTCCAACAGTTTTCTCCCTTTAAAATTGTCTTTTTTTGGGAAGGAAGAATTTGTAAATTGTATGTCAACCATCTTATAAATTGAAATAAATAAATTTGGTGTATTTACTGTCTTCTGATTGGTTAAAATTATTACCTTTATTTTCAATGTTGTCAATTTTTATGGCGACACGCCCACTCTGACGTTGTGTATTCATACGCCAACATGTGTTTGCGTTGTTATTGTTAATATTAATAATATAAAAAGCTCTTTGAGCCTTATTTTTGATAAAAATTTATTTATAATGAATGACAATAATTTATTTTGAATTTATTGAACCATAAAATTAATTTTTGACTCTTTACATTTTACATAATCCGCTTCGCGGATTATTCAATGTGAAGAGTCAAAAATTAATTTTATGGTTCAATAAATTCAAAATAAGTAATAGCCATTCATTAATTGAAACCTGAATATTTCAACAAGAAAATAACACTTTCTTACATTTTCACAATCATAAAACTTTTTGAATGAAAAAGGTTAGGAAGGGAAATAACTCTTGCAAAAACCTGAATACATTGAATATTGAATAGACTTCAAGTTCTCAAATTCTTCCAGACTTTGCCAAAATTCCTAGACCTAACTCCTAGTAAATTGAATATAAAACATTAACAGTTTTGGATTTTATTTAAAAACTCTTGTTCTTTTTTTTTAATTTTGCTATTCCATTGAATTTTACGAGTGTTTGCATAACAGCCAGGGGCAAATATTTCACACATGTTCAGTTGAAGAACCTATTTTAAGAGAGAGCCCTGAAAAGTGGGTGTTGCATGAATAGAATAATGAGGGATATAGCTTAATGCTAAAAATAATTATGCGCCACTCCATCTATCCATTTGTCTGCCAGTTTGTTCAACACATATTCCATCACACTTTTCTTAAGTAGTACAGAAAAGAATAACTTCATATTTCGTCAGCAGCTTGACGGTGATGAGTGATAACAGTGCTTTTGTGATCTGTCAGACACCTAATTCATGTTTGCTACTGTAATACTTTTAAAAAAAGTCAATATGTGGAGTGAACAAAAAAGTGTGTCCCACTTTTCTTATGTACAAAGGAACTGAAGCACTTCTTATTTAGTCAGCATCTTGACAGTATTGAGATGACTTTTTTTCAGATTTGTTAGACAACTTCTTCGAGATTTCTGTAACTTTAATTACATGGGAGATATGCTTAGTACTACAACACATGCTTTCTTGTCATACCTTACATCAACCCCCTGCAGATGCGTTCCAAAAATTGTTTTATTTTTAGTCCTGGAACTGTCACTGACACTAAACCATACTAATAGTCTCTGACGTTTTATAGTATTGATTTGAAAGTCTACAAAATATCAAATATTCTTTTTTTTTTATTCTTCTCTTTTTTTATACGCCCGTTTGTGGAAGATATTATGGTATACAGTTGTCTGTCTGTCCATCAGTCCATCTGTCCGTAATCAACATGTCGTACAATAACTCAAAAAGATGAAAGATTTTGGACACTTTTTAAACACTTAAGTGTCTACTTCAGTCTATTCAATCAGTTTATTTGAAAGATTTGAACTGATTTAGTCATTAAAGACGCTCAAATTCAAGCTTAAATATGAAAAATCTATCAAATATGCCATAATATGTCACTTTTCAGATGGTTTTTGTCAAAAATGAAATTGGCCGCATCCGTGTTCATTCTCAACCTTTATATATGTTATGTATTATCATCAAATACAACTTACATTTAAATATTAAGAATGAACACAAATGCGGCCACTTCCATTTCAGACGAAAACCGTCTAAAAATTAACCAAAATGCTAAAATTTCGAAGATTTCAGTAATTTAGCATGACTTAATGATGCTAGTACCCGATACATGTGCATTGTATTGTCAAAAACAGCCCATATTTATGTAACAGAATTATTCTTCTTTCCAATAAATAGATAAAATTTTACATTTTAACAATTTTGTAAAACTGCTATATTTTGGGGCCAAAAAGGGATCTTACTGGGCCTACTCCTTTCTGATATGACATTGAGGAGTTATGGAACTTTATTTGTTGAAAAAGTGAAAGGTGTACCATGCGCTCGTGGCGCAGCTCTTTATTTAAATCATTGAATTATTTGGTTCACAAGAGAACAAATGTTGCATTAAGTAAATAAGTAAATTGGATTAATCATTTAGGATTTTTACAGGTCTGGCTAAATAGCCAGTAATTTGACATTTGGCTGATTAACAAATCCTGTGGAATAGTATCAGACAATTTAGCTGGATAGAATCAAATAGTCCACAGGCTTAATACACAGTGCTATGATTATAAATAATGTCAATAAATATAAAAAGTGCACACAATATTAATTTGCAATTTAAGGTCATAGTAAACAAAAACAATTTAATGTAAGCAGAAATAATTGTATATTTTGTTTTTACGTATGTTTCTGTGATGTCGTATATAAAATGTGAAAGACTGAAAAATAATTCTGTGTTCTACCAATAATATAACTGACAACACTCAACTATGCATGCATGAGTTGCCTCCCTGGAATGTACCCTCTGAAGTGTATTTGCGATTTTTGCTTAAACTTGTAATGTTTGGAACATAAATGCTAGTTTTGATAGCACATGTTCATGTAATTCACGACACACTTACATGCAATGTGTAGAAAGTACATGAATTAATTGGTGAACACACTTACATCCAATGTGTAGAAAGTACATGAATTAATTGGTGAAGTCTTCTAACAAAACTTTTATTTGTTGCATGACAATACTTAAATTACTGTATTAAGGTAATTGCAATAAAAAAATTAGCTGCATGGTACTAGTCAGATATATGTAATGTATTTTAGAAATGGGTTGCATATCTTTTGGTGTCTCTTTTTGATTTATTTACAATTATAATTGAGAATGGTAACATAGAGTGTGTCAAAGAGACAACAACCCGACCAAAGAGCATAAACCAGCCCAAGGCCACCAATGGGTCTTCAACACAGCAAGAAAATTACGCACCGAAGGTGGGCATTATCTGGCCCCTAAACAATAATGTATACTAGTTCAGCGATATAGACGCCACACCAAACTCCGAAACATATACATGAACTAAAATTAAAAAACAAACACAAGACTAACAAAGACAAGAGGTACCTGACTTGGGACAGGCACATAAACACATTGGGTTAAACATGTTTCCTGAGATCTCAACTGTAGAAAACTAATATAAAAATGTCTACAGAGGAAACATGCATACACACAAATAATAAGTTATTGACTAAGGACATCATGTGTACACATGTTATTGACTAAGGAGATCATGTGTACACATGTTATTGACTAAGGAGATCATGTGTACACATGAAAAAGTCAAACTTACATTTGGGAAATATGTTTCATTCTATTTTTTCATAGTGGTATTTAAATACACTTCAAGTTCCATAAAATTTACAAGGCAAACTATTATGGGATGGATGAACCAAATACAGCAGATGCTTATAAATCATGCATGTCATTAATATAGAAATTGGGCACATTTTTAAATTATTTTTTTCTTCTAAACAGACTTCGTTGATCAGTCTCTTGGATCAGACTTCAAGAAGAACTACAAAATGACTAGGCCAAAAAAAATTAGATCCATAACGGCATCGTTTAGTAATATTCTTCTTTGATACAGAAACTTGCTGTGATTGCTTGTACTTTTTATGGCTTTAAGAAGGAGAGATAATTCCCATTGTATAGAAACTTCATGCAACAATGATTTGGACAATTTAACACATTCTGACATTTATCATGTTTGTAGAAGTGTGTATAGTAGGGGAGACAACTCTAATTAGACTTGTGATAATTGTTGTACATTTTTTTTTCATTGATGTACTTAATTTTATTATTTATTTAGATGTAAATATTTTTTTAAATCATAAACCAGCTATCAATATCATATTTATTTCATGTTGTATACGGTTCAGACTTTATATCTTAATGCTCATCATTTAAGAAATAATTCTACTCTACACTCATTTTAACATGGGTAACAGCATCGTATTTGTTGATATCTATACACCAAGCATTAGTGGGGAGTAAACATTGACAATGCCTATCCATGTTAGAATTAGCAAAGAGCAGGACATTAAAGAATCATGTGAATTCTAAAAGGAAAATTCAAAACTTTTGGACTTGGAAGGGGACCTATAAAAGATGTTTGACAGGCAGCCATTATAATTTGATGAAGCAAACTCTTCCAGAAAATCAACTGTTTCACAATTGAAAAGTTTTTTTTTGAAAAGTTATTCGAAATACAACTGATGTTGCAATTTTAGTTATGATGTCATGCTTGTGCACCCTATGCTTTATTGGAATTAGAACATGGCTTTGGTTGCAAGAGCCCTCATATTAGAATTAAGAAATAATTCTTTCATGCCATGCTCTATGCTCATTTTAATATGGGTAGGCATTATATTTGTTGATATCTTTATACTTAGCCTTAGCGAGGTGTAAAATGTCGAAAAATATAATGCCTACCCATGTTAAAATGAGCATAGAGCATGGCATGATATAATAGTTTTGATTCTAATAGGAAAATTTAGAACTTTTATCCTCTGAAGTGGACCTATAATACATATTCGAAAGGCAGCCATTCTGAATTATGAAGCTAAAACGATATAGAAAATTAACGATTTCACAATAAAAAATGAACAGACACATGTAAACTTACTTTTAGAATGATTTTATTAAATTTACTAGCAAGCAACACCAACACAAATGTCCATTTTGAGATCTCCGGCATTTTTTAAAATACAACTGATGTTGCAATTTCAATTGTGACTTCAATCACGTGCAGCCCATGTTTTATTGGAATAAGAACATGGCTTTGTTTCCAGAGCGAAAGAAGAACATCATATTAGAATTTTAGTTTAAAACTGTCAAGCAAACTTCGGGTGTTAGTAATCAATAAGTTAACAATTCTTTAGAAAAGGATATTAAGTAATTTCAGAGAACTTTTTATAAATACAAAGTATATCTTAAATTATTATTTTGATAATGATAACTGTTTTTATCGCTATTCTTCTATCTGTTATTTTTAAGTTTTTAATGTTTTCAGTTTCAGTAATATTTGAATTGAAGATGACTTTTATATAAATCTGAACCAGACTTCATGTTTGTATCATTGTTGTAAAATGAGATTCCATATTTATACATTGTGTTACCATGGTTATACATTTGTCTTTCTTATCAGTTTGTTTATTATTCGTGTCTTTTAGTTATTTATTTGAAATATTTGAATGTGGCTGAAAATTCCTTTTTTTTTATATATATTTTCATGTATATAATATAACAAGGTATTATTTTGTTTAAATCTTATAAATCTGTTGTAAGATTTGATGAAAAATCTGTAAACTGCCCAAAAAAGGCAGTTATTGAGCAATAATGAAAGAAAAAATTCATTTTTGAAAATATTGAAAGTTTTAGAATAATATCTTGTTCAAGGAGTAATACCACCAAATCATAGTACGTCTCATTTGGTTTCGTATAAAAATGGTTGAAAAAAATATTCCCTTGAATTTGACAGTTGTAGGAAATCAACCCTGCATTTTATTGCGGAAAAAAAATATAAAGTCATAAAACATATATCTTGGGTGTTTCAAGACAACATTCGTTTTTTATTTGGTGTTTCTATAAAATATTTTGGAAACTTGAGGTGACATGGTTACTTAAGCTTGTAAACAGGAACAAAAGTAGTGAAAATTTAATTGGTTTACTTCCGATGATGGTTATTATTTTAAATGCAAATGAAATGTAATGTGAAATTTTCACTGTAGTATTGAACAGGATAAAACTTTACTCATGCCAAGTATTTCTTTATTTGAAACACAAGATAAATTCTGCACATTTTTTTGAAAAATGTGAATTAAACAAAGACTAGTAGGGGTAAAACAATGGTGTTGTGACTCCTTAATGTATAATCCCTAAGTATAACCTCTATTGTGATGGTTACCTCCCTTGTCATGTTTACCTCCCTTTTCCTGCTTGTAAGATTGTTGCTAGGAGTAAACAAGACCTTATCTTCCTCTTCTTGGGAGTTTTTATTTTTTTGTTAAAATTTGTTTAGATTCTTTCAGATAATAAAATTTGTTCAACCCTAGGAATATTTTGGCAGAACTTTGAACAATTTTACAAGTATTTTATATTGTCCTTTAAGAAATGAACCTAGAGCACTATTTTTTGGGTCCTATATTTTGTAATATAACTGTTTTTTTATTCTTGGCATTTGTCTATTCAGTATCTTGGCAAATGATCTCATACCAGATTCATTACCCACAATTGGCATCTTTACAGTTTTTTACACCATAGCTATTATAAATACTCTGAATTTATGTGTTTTCACACCATTTCATTTGACTTTTTTCAGTTAATATTTTTTTGTACACTTATCAATAAGTAGAAAGTTTGAAAAGTTTTCTAGATCCACATAAAACCATGTAAAAATTAATTTTACTGACTGATTCAGTTTTCTCCCAATTTAATTGTTTACTCTGCTTTCTATTTCACCCTAACGAGTTATAGGATGAAAACTCGTATATCTCTGCTTAACAATGTAATTATTTACTGTATCGGTAACTTTATTCATTAATGCTCAATTTTCCTAGATGTGAGATTTATTAGTAATAGCCATTGCCTCAAAAAATATATTAGAAATTGAATTAAGTAATTCGCGAAACTTGAAATCCATGAAAACGTATACTCCATTATTATGAGTTCTTTCACTTTTACCATGTTCTGATATTTTTAAAGTGTTTATTATTTTTCTTGCTGTTACCTTTATTTGATGTCAGTTTGCACAGAGCACCAACAGGGGCGGATCCAGCCATTTTTAAAAAGGAGGGTTCCCAACCCAGGATAAAGGGGGGGATCCAACTATATGTGCCCATTCAAATGCATTGATCGTCAAAAAAAAAGGGGGGGTTCCAACCCCCGGAACCCCCCTGGATCCGCCACTGACCAATCATTTTATAATTTATTTCACAAAGTATTTATGTTGTATTAGTACAGTATAAGTATACATAAGATACCTGTCCAAACTCAGCCAGAAAAATGATTCCATTTAAGAGGGTCAGTTTGACCTACTTTTTTCTGTTTTTCTGGTAATCTACGTCTTCAGTCTGAACAAAACATGAACAAAAATATATCTTCGTCATTTAAACTCTGGTGGAAAGTTGTCTCATTGGCAATCATACAACATCTCCTTATTTTATATGAATATATTGTTTTTTCATCAATTTCACTAAATGTTTGAATCACAATTGCTTTTGACATGAAAAATTCAATCCTATTTTTGATAAGGAAATGTAACTTTTTTAAAAGAAAATAGATATTTTGAGACCGTATTTACATGGTTACGTTTGAGTTTTAAACATACAACATGTAAAATCTGATAGAAATGTTATTCCCCCTTATTCTTCTTGGATATGTCATGAATATCAAATGCTTTAGAAAAATCATTTAAAAGCTGTATAGTATTAATTCCCCTGTTTCTATGTTTTTCTGTTTTCTGCTATTTTGTTTTCTTAAAGGAACAAATTTGATATCACTTTGTATAAAAAGTAAATATTAGTTTGATTAATTAAAAAAACTACTAATATGTCATGGGGAATACCTACTGATAGATATTGATGATTATTTAAATTCAAGAGAAATTTAAGAATGTTTTTGACAAGTTTTAGGTTCATTCAAAACAAATAAACTTATATTTGAAGAATTTACATTTAATTACATTAATAAAAATACACATTATAGATAAGAATACATTACTTTTTCAATTTTCAATTTAACTGCAATACACTTAGGTTTAGTGCCAAATTTTTTTTCAAGTAAATTTGATCAAATGAAATTTCAAAACAAAATAATTGAAAACCATTTTCTTGGTGTGTTTTTTGGGGAAAATGTAGTTCTATGCCAAAGACTTGATATATGGAGGCATATTTGTATCTTATTTACCTCCCTTGCCCTTTTTTGAAGTTGATGTTTGACAAATTGTTAACATTGTGAATTAAGAAATTGTGTATTTAGGTATGTATTGAAAGATATGTGTATTAGTAAGAGAAAGTGTTATTTACCCAGTTTTTTTTATTTTTGTTATATTTTCTTTAAACAATAAAAGCATATTTTACCATATTTTATTGTCTCCCTTGACCTTAAGTGATATTAAGTGAAGTTTACCAATCTCTAGTGACATGACCAGACACTTTATCAGATTCTAACACATCAAGAGATTATATAAACATAAAATGGCGACAAAGAGTATCAAACTATATGTTTAAACACACACACACAAAACAAAACAAAAAACAAAAACAAAAAAAACAAAATTAACAAAACAAAACAAAAACAATTAAGAAAATGCATTGGTACCAAAGTGAAACAAACTAAATTAGATGAATAGATTATTCTTGTAAATGTATAAGTATGACTGTAAAATTAAAGACTATGAAGGGGGAAAAAAGATGAATAAGATGATAAAGGGTAAAAGTTGGTGTGACAGCAATCTTACAATAAAGGGAATCCACAGCTGAAAATCTTGAGGTCATCTCATGATCAGATAATTGCCTTTTCACACAAGTAAATTGACCTAAAAGTTGTCTTCCTTGA